ACTGGTATGTTAAAAAGAAGTATATACAAAAAAATTTATGAACTGTTTTGAGGGCATATGGATATCTAAATAGCCTCCATTTTGTATTTAGTATTTTGAATATTTCTAACTAATTTCCTTAACAGCATCAGTTGTAAGAAACAATTATAGATCAAAGAGGTATATTAATAATTATTATAAATTATCAAATTATTACCAGGCATCTCATTATCCTCCAAGGACTCTAAACCAGGTGTCAATATAAAATCCATATAAATCTAATACAGCTTATATGCAGCAAAATATCAAAGTTCCCAACATCCCTTTAGTTCAATGTTTGTTTAATTCCCTTCTCCACAAGGGTTTCAAGAAGAAAGGTGGTGAGTGCTTCTGCTAGCACTCTTTGCTGCTCTGTGTACTGCTCTGCTTGGATTTTTAAGGAGGAGACAAAGGGATTCCCAAAACACCATTAAATGAAATCTTTCAGTCAACAGCACAGGTCAGAGGATTTCACACGTAGCTGTACCTATGGCACAACTACTAACTGCAGGTTTCAGAGGGAAAAGGCAGCTCTTGGCAGCATCTTTGGCACTTTGCAAGACCTTACAGTTGAGATCTGCTTCTGAGCCATTCAAATTCAGCCTCTTCCACCTCCAGATCTTTCCCTTTTCACATTCTGTCACACAGAAATCCCATAAGGTTGCACTTGATTCATTGCTGAATCAAAGTGTCTCATTCTGAAGAGCTGCAGCTGTTCTGTGTCTGCATGCTGCATCTACACTACTACAAAGAGCTAAAGACATGCTTGACTCTCCTTTTCCACAGCTTAATTTGTCTTGGTCTTGTTATCAGGCTAGAAGATCACAATGTAGAATGCTAACATGCCTTATAGTACTATTCTCCTACACCAAACACAGAGAATTATGCTTGTAACTAAAACTTAAATCATGATTATTGATTATTATGAACTGCAGCTTTATATACTGCTGACAATGCAGAAAGTTTCAGCCTTATCATCAAAATGAATCATTAAAGGTCGAGTTAGGAAATCCTCTTTGATGTTCTGCATTATTCTGTATTTAATGTACTCTTTGTTACATTTGGCTAAATAAGCTTGTTCAGCAAAAAAACCCCAGTTTTTATCTGCTCTTTTACCTCTTTTATCCCAACTTTATTTCTTGTTGCTCTAACATGATCTATTACTAATTACTGCATTACTGACTATTACTAATTGCTATATTATGTAACTGGATTTCTCTGCCTTTTTGTAGGTCATTATTTTTTTTTCCCTAATAAAACAAATAAAATTGGTCTCAAGATACTTAGAGGTTTAAATCTGTGTCAGCTAGTTGTCAGGCTCTGTTTTACCTTTGCTCCTAAAGAAAGCCTTAGTTTTTCACTGTTGCAACTCCTACGCAAATCCAGCTCCCTTTAGTTTGACATCAGTGATCAGACTTCTCTGTAGTGGCTAATATTAGCCTGAGTAAATGGAATTCTCTCTTGATTCTACACTGATTTCACACTGACTGCAAACACTTCTACTGTTCTATGCACCAGGAGTATCTTCTCTCTTTTTTTCTCAGTAGCAACAAAGCTTTTTAACTCTCCTCAGCTGATCCATTGTGCATGTTCGAGTCATGGGGTGAGGACAGAGTAATGACAGGACTTCTCACAGCCTTCATCCTAAATTTGCAGGAATTCCTGAATCTGAGCACTGGTGGGAATGGCCAGGGGAAGATGCTGCTCACCAAACACAGTACTACTAATTTGTTGAATGGTGGGAGTATGAAGCAGGAGGCAAGGCAGAGAGGTTCAGAGAGGTTTGATGAGGTAGTTTGGGAAGCATCTCCAAAGGCCAGTTCTACAAAATGTGAACTATGTGAGTCCAGCCTGTGGCTCGCTCAGCTCCCATCCTGGCCCTTCCCTCTTCACAGTACATCTGGCTTAACAATTTAGAGCTGGGAAGCTTAGTTCTTATGCAAAACAATAAACTAGTCACAGAAAGATTCTTGAGGGAAATTACACAAAACAGTCTGGTGTTGTAGAGTATGGTAAATGGCTAATTTTGCCTCTGGTGGAACACTCTTGTGCTACTGAGCGTTTTCCCTTTATTTCCATAATTCAGGTTTTCCAGTATGTCAGCATCTACCAGCACTGCAATTCAGACTTTAGTATATATCCTATTTAGTACAAGTTTACTAGTATCCAATAAGCAGAAATAAATAGTTCCAAAACCAGAAATTAATTTACCTAATCCTTAGTGCCTTCTCTTATCTGCTTAGCTGTAAATATTTATATGAAAGTTAATATATTACTTGCTTTCCATATGTCTGTCCTGAAACCACATCTCAGCAGCTTCTGAAGGAAGCTTATTTCCTTATTTAAGGAAATAAGTCTTTTGCACCCTGCTAAACTAATGCATACAAAATATTATGGAAGCAGAATTATTGTTCCAAGAACAATGAGGCACGAATAAGAATAATAGAAATACAATATTTATCAATCATGAGGAAGAAAATATAAGGGAGAATCAATTTCATATTTCAGCAGCCTCTAAGAACTCCGAGGTCTAGAATTAAACTTTTCCCACAAACTTCTTAATGTATGACTATGCACCACAGAAGGGTATGTACTTTCCCCTGAAATCTCTAGTACTGACTTCCAGAGGCAGTACAAATCTAGAGAGATATAATACAGGATACCTATTTTAATATTTCAATATATTTCAATATTTATTAAAACTTCTACTTTTATAGCTTTTGCCTTCTCAACAAGGAAGGATATTGGATATTTTTTCTTAACTTAATCAAGAGGGACATAAAGATGCTGTTGACCTGTTGATGTCTATTTAAGGAAAGAAATAGAACAGAAAAGGTAAAAGAAAATTCTATGTGCTGGCTTTCCTGAATGTGGCTTAATGCCTACTTAATAACGTCTTTCTCAGGCATGGCACTCATGAATGCCTGCTTGTGCCAGTTAAGAAGTCTAAAAAAATCGAAGTCACTGTACACTGTACAGAACATTTCAGTCTGCATTCAACATATGTGCTTCAGTTCATGATTCCAAAAGAATTTTTGTAAAACCAGGTAGATAAGTTTTATTTACTCGTTTTCTGTCTCAAGATAATATGGAGATTTAATTAAGGGAAATTGAAGCAGTGGTATTAAAAAGGTGAAGACAGAACTCTCATATGGCTTATGAGAGTTATGGTTCTCACATGGCTTTGAAACTACACAATTTTAAGAATGCATATTGAATAACTATATATATATATATATATATATATGTGTGTGTGTGAATATTCAGTGTCTAGTTCCACAGGTTCATTGATAGAATAAATATTTTTAACTCATTTTCAAGCACTGAAACTACACTTAAGCAGAAGAGAAAATTAACTGTTTATTTCTGGAGACATTGTTTGATGTGTGCAATAAATAAAACCGCCATATGCATAAAATAATTCCATTTATAATTTTCCTCTTTAATACATTCCAATAATACTGAAGGTAAAACTTTAATTAAAAAGATAGAAGATGTAGAGTGAGGCCCAGTACACCAAAGGTGTAGGTGAAATGGAAAAACAAGGGTGGAAAATACTTCCTTAGGTAGTCATGTTCTAACTCCTTTACATGAGAACCAATTTAATCTGCACCAGTCCTACTTCTGACTCAAATTTCAGTTAAGCATTGGGGGAGCAGGAAAATAAGCAGATTAACTCTGGTTATACATACAATACATAAAAGTCATATTTTTGTGGTACATACAATCACAACACTTCCCATAAGGTCCACTGACAGTATTACGCTCATCTCTCAAAGGTAACACCTTTCAAAGCCAACAACAAACACTTTGCCATAAGTGCCAAAATAAAAGAAACAGCTAAACAGTATCCAAGTCCCTCTTACATTTTCATAAACATTCCTATGCTTTGTGCAGTTAAAACTACATTTGCAAAATACCCAAATAACCATGCAGCACATCTACAGAGTTTTAAATTATCTTAAGCCATTTTCATGGTCTTGGTTTTGTCAATTCTATTTTCATTAACAGGGCTTTCCATTTGGAAATGGACTTTGCTAAAGCACTTATTTTTTCCCATAATGAAATGTATATTCTAGAAGGTAATTATATCAAGTGTATTAGACTACATTATCTGCAAAATTAATAATTAATTATTATAATAATAATTAATAATTAATGTTGGATGTTTTATTTGCATTCAAATATTAAATGTCTCATTTTGCAGTAGCTTTGCCAATCCTGGGAGCAAGGAAAAAAAACCTGGAAATAAAATTATAAACCAGACATCTTTTCCTCAGCCAGATTTTATAGGTCAGAAATCTTGTGTTTTCCACTTAAAATGCGACCTAAATTAATGAAGTCTTTTAGAGGACACTAAATTATTTTTGTATAATAGAAATTTAAATTGAAAATATCTTGATTATTTTAATTAACACACTCTATATGACATGACCCTGCTCCAGATAGCAGGAAATTTTGGATAATATATTTAAGGTTATACTGCTGTGTAGATATTCAGATTCTTGGCAATCTGCCACAATTGGGATGAAAGCTTTTGTTGGTTTATAAAACACTTTTCCAAGTGCTAAAAAGCCACTATTAAACTATAACACTGCATCTTCCAGTTTTCAACAGATCAAGGTAACTCTCTGTTCAACTATATGAAAGCCATGAATAAGTTTCAATAACTCTCATGCCATTAGTCACTCAATAAACATCTTTTTTCCTTCTCTTTGAGTTTTTAAATCATGGCACTACTGTTCATTCTGATAGACAATTATACTGTTTCTTTCATTTGCTTTAGCTTATCCTTCTTAAATTTTAATAATCAAGACCACTGTGTGTTAAGTGTTTCGCTGCACATTTCCAAAATTTTATTATAGACACACAAGAAACTTTTACTGAAGAAACAACCTGACACTCATCTATTGCTTTCTAATAGGATGTTGAATATTTCACTTTAGCATATTTTGTTGCTTTTCAAAACAAAACTCCCTTGCCTTAGCATGATAATCTTGTTCCAGCCTGGAATCTGATCCTGCTACCTGTTTGTACTTGTTCATTTTCATTTGGCGACTCCTTTCTTCTACATCCACTGCACCTGTTAAGTTAAAAACAGAAGAAAAAAAGGAAATAAGTACACAAACAGTCATCATTTCCAAGGTTAAAATTATGCTCATGGAAGTTTTAACAGAAAGAGATGAAATTTGATTTACTTAAATTCTGTGCATGTAATTTTAGTTCCTGAATTATGATTTTGCAGAAAATCAAAAAGTTGTAACAGGAGGAAGATAGCAGATAAGTATTTCAGCAGAATCTTAGTAAGTGTTATATTATCTACACAATTCAAATGAAGCCAACTTTGTGAGAAAAAATCAATATAAATGAAACACAATGTTTCCATAGAATATAATTTTGCTATTTCAAGAATATTCAAGGGAAATTGAGTCTTTTATTTAACAAGGAGGAATGCAAAGATAACGTGCTTATTTTGGGCAGAGATTCTGGTTCTGCATTTATTATAGTCTGACATATCAAATTAACAATCAAGTAACACCCACAGACTAGCAGACCTTCCATTTACTATTTGAGTATATTTTAATATGCTCAAAAAATTCAAAGAAAGACTAAAGGAATCTTAAAGAGCCACCCAGTGGCATCACTGTATTACATTCTAATGAAACACAGCCTCAAGAACAATTTCAGGATTCACTCTTCTTGGATAAAGCACGTGGTTAGTTTCAGTCAGGGATGGGTCTCACTACGTGACCCAGGCAGTAGCTGGTTTCAACAAACTGGTGCTGTAATACTGTAATTTACAGTGTAAAATAATAAGGAAGTCAATGCCAAAGCTGAGGTGGAAGACTAAGAAATAGAAAAATGAAAGGAAGACAACAGCTCAGAAACTATTTTCAAACCAAATATTATTAGCTGTCATACACACATAAGTTTGATTCTTTTCCACTTAAACCTCGTATAAGTCAAGAATCAATCATTATCCACTGAATGCTAAAAAGCATTCATTTTGACTGACATCTGTCTTAAACTGACCATAATTTTAATGTAAAAGTTGTCTAGGATTAAAATTTCAGGATCCTACTAATCATAAATAAAAATTTCTGTATATTGCATGTATTGAGCAATATGAACTATATTTATGAATCTGAGATGAGGTTATTAGATTCCAGTGTACTACAGAAACCTGTTTTAAATTCTAAACCTCAGTTGTAAGTCATAATCTAACAGCAAAGTGGGGCTCTGCACAGAACCTGGGCATCTCAGCTTTGTATTTTCCTTCTTGAGAACAACAAGGGTAGTAGCACATACTATGAGAGCTGCCAGGTAGATGTTGCAGCACTTACTAGGAAATCTGGAAAGAGAGGAGGTAAAAGGAAGTGGGAGTTCAAAAACACTAAGCTGTTCTGTTCTCTATAAACACTCTGGCTTACAGTTTTTGTATTCTAACTCTCTCTATCTTTACACCTTACAACAACATGAAAGAAAAGACTTCATCAAAAATACGAAGAGAAATTAAAATCTAAAAAAATTAAAATTAAGAAAAATTAATAAGAAAAAATAAATGGTGTTTTAAAAAGAGAAAAAAAATTAAAAAGAGAG